CATCGTAGTCGTGATCCATACAAATGGCCGCTTTCCCACCATCAGCACCGCTGCCCCTGTCATCGATGGTCAACTGGACCCGATCCAAGACAACTATCTCATTCCAGGGAACCATTACCACGCGTTGCGCGGGTCGGAAGGGGTCGCGTTGCAGGTGCAGTGTGACGGCGCCGCCACCGTTGACCATCAGATCAAACCAACCCGTGTCACGGGTTAGCGTAAAGCCCAGCATCGGATCCGTGGCCACTCCCACGCGCACTCCGGTGATACCCTGTCCGCCGTGATTCACCACTTGGCCTCTGATGACTGACGCCCGGCTGTTGTGGTAGTTATGGTTAAGATTAATGTTGTGTTTTAAAAGTTGTTAATTAATAATAACAATAGATTTAAAGTCAATTCAATGCATATCAATCACAAACACAATTGGCATTCAAACAAGACATCGATATAAACAGGGATTAGTCTTAAGAGGGGGTTAGAGATAAACACCGACACCAATAGTCAACTGACCTGTCGTTGAATCGGTTCCAGAATAGACTTCAGAAGAGTATTGTTAGAGTAATTAGTGTGAAAGAGATGAGAGTTAGACAACAAGTTTTGTTAATCAAAATACAAATGTTTTTGTATTAATAAATTAGTGTCTAATGAATGTGAGGGGACAGGGGATCAGATGTTAGATATAAAAGCTCCCGAAGAATATGTATGAATAGATGATAATCTTGTGGTAAAAATACATACCTGTCATTGAATGCGCTCTTATGGGCGTAACTCTGAACGGATTCCTCTTCGATAAGAAACTGCATCCTCTGGAAGAAGGAGGCGGTGACCGCCGGCGGCTGTTTCCGCAACAGTATGTCCTGCGGGTCGGAGGCAGAGAAGCAAAGTTGTTTGCCCTCGCACTTTTTGCTCGAACAACACTCCGGGTCGGCGCAGTCGATCAGTCCATCTAGATGTAACATTTTGACAATTATATCATTTGTATTATGAGTGACACCACTATAGGGATCAGTTGTTGTGGTCATACATACCGTTATCATTATCCTTGCCGTCGTCGCAGACATTCTCGAGTGGGACACTGCAGTCCTGTCCGCCCCAATCCTGGCCACAATCGCACTGCCAGTCGCCCGACTTCTGGGTACAGTCGCCGTGATTGTTGCACGACTTGGGACAACCATCTAGACATTTAACACAACAAATTCAATCAATTAAACTGCACAATCAAATCGCCACAAAACAAGGTAACAACAACACTTACCTAGAGTACAGTGTTTACCATTCCATCCCTGTATGCAAAGACAGGTGCCATTTTTGCACTGACCATGCTCGAGACATCGTGGGTCGCAAAGCCGTTCCGCGCATTTGGCACCCGTCCAGCCCTCGTCGCACAGACACTCACCGCTCTGACAGTGACCGTTATTACCGCAGTCCAGATCGCATCGCTCTGTACAACACAATGGACAGGGAGTTAGACAATGGAATCAACTCATAGACAGCGCACATCTCTATTGTAACAAACCTTGTGAACAGTCGGGTCCGGTATATCTCTCGTCGCAAATACACTGCTGGAGCTGTAGATCAAAGTTTCCGTGACCGGTGCAGTCGGGCAGACACCGGATGGCCTCCGAGTCCGGTTCGGCGCAGTCGGCGCCCTTCCAGCCTTTGCCGCACAGACACAGACCGGCCACACAGTGGCCGTGCGCTGAGCAGTCCGGGTCCAGACAGTCCACTAAACCAACAAACAAAACATTTTTATTAATAACAGGACATATCATATATAAAGAGGACAGTTGTGTCCTATAGGGTGGGCCCACACGTACCGTCTTCGCAGTGTTTGCCTTTATAGCCGGGAAAACAGTGACAATTGCCGTCAACACAGTCTCCGTGTCCGTTACAGTCGCCCACTTCGCACTCGTCCTCCCGGAGTTGACACTCTTTGCCCTTCCAGCCGGAGCTGCACTGACACTCACCGTTCGCATACTGGCCACGGCCTGAGCACAGCACAGGACAAACCCCTAATACAAACAAAAACCACATTAATAATCACCAAATAAAGTAACCAAACAAAAAACTGATGGTAAAACCACTCACTGTAGGCGCAATTATCACCGGCGTAGTCGTCATCGCACTTACAGACACCGTTGGCACAGACGCCGTGTCCGTGACAGTCGAAAGGACAGGGAATGTTGGACTCGTCGGCTATCGTATAAGCCATGGATATATCAATAGTCTGCGGGGCGTCGTTATAAATGGCCAAAAACCAGTTGCCTCTGTCCAGAAAGCGGGTAAACTCGCGGGACTGGACCTTATCTGTCGCTGAACCGGCACCGGCAGCTCGTGGTTGTCTCGGCGCCAGCGATGATTGGCCAATGGCTCGGCCGACAATCTCCATGAAGTCGTATTTGGTATGCGTGGGCAACGAGTCTCGGGAGCCGTAGACGCCTACTG